TCCTCTGTTTCATGCTTTGCTTTACTGTCCACTGTGCCTTAAGACATCAGGCAGAGTGGACTCTGCCGAGGGCTCGTCCAGACCTAATTGGGATGATTCCTTGTGAGGTTTCTGCCCAGACCCACCAGATAAGTGAGGAATGTTCTTTGAAACATTGGAAGCATTGCACAGCAAGTGACTAATGGTGTATTCCATTTAAAATGTCACAGAATTTCATTCCCTCGCCACTCAAAGTGAACATGTTAAATATAATTTGCATGGCTGTCTTCTTTGGGATCTGTTCCCACCGAATTCTCCCTCACCTTGTGAAAGGTCTTTCTCACGTTCTCTAGAATGATTACACAAACAAGTCCTCCTCTCTGAAGAAGTGTATCTCAGCAAGCCAAGCCTTAGCAATGTTATGGAACCAACAGTGGTTCTGTACATACATTTTTCATCAGAAAGCCTGTACATACAACATTCAGATTTAAAGCAGAGGTTAAACTTGCTAGAGTTTTTCAGAACCACATCCCTCTGTACATGTAAAGATGATTGCAGTGATAGGAAGTAGGTGTGTCTACGGCGGTGCCAGTGGAATAGGAAACGCAGTGGTCGGCTAGGGCTCAGTTTGGTTCAGCTACGATAGCAAGGACAGGGCTTGGGGCCCCAGAGCCATCTAGAACATCAATGGGGGAACAGTGGTGGTCATGCCACCTGTAACTACAGCAGCAAGCTGTCTTTTTTAATATTTTGTATTTCTTACAAACTATTTCTCAGGATGTGATAATCTCATTCTGTAAACTGAGCTTTCAAAACCCAAATGGTAGGATAAGAAAGTAAGTCAACAAGGCTTACTGAGGTGAGATGTCCAGGTGCTAAGTGCATAGGGTTTTTGCAAGTATTATTTTACATAAGCCACATAGCAATCCTGTGTGGAACACAGGAAACAGCAATGCATTTTCCACAGGCCACAGCAGGATGAAAAATAAGATGCTTTTGTTTGTTTTTTTTGTTTGTTTTTTAATATGTAGAGTTGGTAGATTTTTGGTATTTCACTCTCGGGAATAGCTTCTGTGTTTCTTGTAATATACTGTAGCACTACTCATTGCATAGACCACCGTTCATTGAATAATTATCACCAAGACTCTGACAATGAAGCAAAGGACTTCATTAAGTATATTCCTTATTTATGGATAAAATTATATGATGTCTGAGAAGATCATCTAATTGGGAATTCAAAATAATACGGGAATACGGAGGAGTGAATTGCGGTTTAGATGAAACAAGTTGGCCACGAGTTGATAATTGCTGAAGCTTGGTGATGTCAATGGGGTTCATTATATCCTTCTGTTAAAATATCCCATAATAAAAAGCTAAAAATGCCACAAGGTCCATAATTTAAAAAAAAAAAAAAGTCCTTTCTCCATGTAGTATAAAAGAATACATGGTTCTTCATTGCATGGCGCTCTGCTTAGCTTCCGCCACAGTGTTAGCGCTTACAGGAGGCTTAGGACACATGAATGTCACTGCTGAGACAATCCCTGTAGGAACCAGACTCTTGACAGTTTTTATAGAAGTCAGCATGGACTTGCACGGATCCTGGCATGCGCCTGTTCTCGTATTTGCTGGGGTTAGGCCATGTTGGAGAGTCGGCCCCAGAAGAGAACATGGCCAGCTGGCAAGGCTGAGGTGTCAGACTCCTGACCCTTGGCCACAGGATCAAAAGCACTGATCTCTGCAGAGTTACGATGCCAGATTCGATTTACAGAAACTTCAAGTTACCTAAAATACTTGCTTCAAACACATTGGCTTCAGAATCCTACTGATGGGTGTTTGAATCCCCTGCTATGAGTAACTGAGCCATGTGACTTCAGTGAAGGCATTTAAGCATCTGTAAAGCAAGGGCATTAATACTTCCCAATATGGGGAGATTCTGGTACTTAGATGAAATACAAATGTGTAAAATGTCCTGTGGGACTCCTGGCACAATAATGTGCTCAAAAGAAATGATCATCATTATAAGTAATAACAGCACTGCATGAGTTAATCCACCAAGGACAAATTTATTGAAGATATTGCCCGTCTGAGCTGTGTTCTTGTGAGGGCTTTATGTAATAGAATTCTGTACTATTACTAGGTTGCTTGAGAAGCCTGTTGGGAAGGTTTTGGCTTTGGATATGTGTGGACCTGACTTGGCTCTGAGCCCTACAATGTCAGAAACCCCTTATGGTCTGCTCATCCTCTGCCGTGTGGAGGCCACTAGGGTGGCTAGTGTCACAGGCAAAAGTCCCTTAAGACTCTGGCTGCAGACTTCCTAACCACACACTCCTGGATGGACTTCAAGGGACTAAGCTTTCCCCCAAAATAGGCAAAATCATCGGTATGTGCATTTTTCCTAGAGATGAGAGATGATTCCTGACTTGAGTCAAATTCTCAAAAGTCTTCTTTATTACCTAAATTAAAGGTTAGGAACCTCTGCTCTTAATAATCGATTTGGAATGTAGATTTGAAAATTAAAGTGAAAAGAATATTTGAAAATTCCCAATCTAGTGGTGAGTATAAATTTTTGAATATGTTTGTTTATATTCTGTCATTCATTTGCCAGGGTGAATGCCACTGTGTAAATTCTGATAAGCTCAGGGGCCTCTTCTGATTAGAATGCTAATTATAAAGTCAGAAAGCAGGAATCTCGAGCGTTTGTTCTGAAAATTCTAAATTTCATGAACAAATCAGAAAATTGATGTTTAAAGGTGTTAACAGAAACTGTGTTTCTGAGACACAGTTTAGCCAAAGAACTTAAGGTTTCAAGGAAAAGCTGTTCTTGGTGTATGGAAGTGTTTATCTGTCCTTCATTTTCCAATTGCTACTAAATTATATCTAGAAACTACTGGAGGCTGTTACCTGGTCAGATGAATTGTAAGTGAGCTTTTATTTATTTTTTTTTAAAGGGTTGTGAATAGTAGTTCTGAGAGCATCATATGTGCTGTTCCTTGCCTCTTTTTCTGTTTTTTCAATTCATGTAGTTTCAGGATGTGAAGGAGAAGTCATGGCTTGCAGTTTCCCAGCACCAAGTTTCCAAATTACCATTGTTCTCAGGAGAGATGGAAAGAACATAAACAGCTTTAGATCAGCTCTGTAAAAAATAATTTATTCTGTGGTCAATTTTCAGTGAATAAATGGTAACATAAAACTTAAAGCACCCATTAAAGTGTTTTATGGGTCTCCTGTTGGGGAAATAGAATTGGGAATTCTTTCAGATATTAGCACATTAGGAAGAAGATTAGGAACTGTTGAGGGGAGAGCGTTTAGATTTGTGAGAGCATGTTTGGCCCAGGATGGAAGACTTTGGAGCGTTGGATGGAGCAGAATGTGGGAGAATGGAAAGAGGCTGCCAGCCCGGTCCAGGTGGCAGCAAGGATGAAGAATGGCCAAAGCAGTTCCAGGTGGAATGAGACCTTAAACCAGACTGGGAGCATGTGAAGAGCAAAGGAACGGCCAGGCCGCTGGCTGGCATGCTCTTCAAAGGGTTTGTCAGATTGAGTAGCGGTGCTTCCAAGCAGATTATAGTATGAAACCCTTGGGACTTGGTCTGTCCGTGGGAAAACTAGCATGTTTCGGTTCTTCTCTGTAAAAACATTCACGAATCTACTCATGATTTCATTGGAAATTCCTTACTCTCATCTTTTTCATCAGTAACAAAAGAATAGGTCTTGCTTTAAACTACTTGGTTGTGCTTATCACTGAAAACATGTTTGTTTGGAGCTTCTCTGTTGCCACAGTAGCTGAGATGCATGTTCCCCGGTAAGGCAGAGATGGTGGGATGGCGTCCACCGGAGCCAAAAGTCAGTCTTCCGAAGTTCCCACTTTCCAGAAGGAGGTGGAGCAAACGCCGGTGGCCGAACCACAGATTTAGCTGGCAGCTGGGAACACGATGCATCCTCACACGCCTTCTGTTAAAGACAGCATTTTTACATAAGCTGATTTCCACCAGGGGCTAAAAAGAGATTCCTCCCAGAACTGAAAGAATATTGTTATTCCTTCCATATGGCATGAACACTGTTATTCTAAATTACCTCAGCCTGAGAGCCCCAGCAGACATTTTCATTGTAATCAAATGCAATAAAACACAGAAATTAGTGTCTTCAGTCAAACAGTGAGTTTCATATTATCCAAGAAGTGCAAATGGAGACCAGTAGCTCAGCGGATACATATGAAGAATTGGGGGGTGAAGAGGTGAAGCAGAAAATATCCAGCACTGGTGGCACATGCTTGCTTTCGGTCATCCACAATCTTGTGTGTGATTGTATGTTACTATGGATATGTGCATTTCCAGGTGACCAAATACATTATGTTGTATAAAGTTAATCACTCATAGCCAGTTAGATTAATACGCAAATATTGGAATATAATCAGACTTAAACTTAGGACATGTTAAGCATCTTTTGTTAATGTTCACTAGAAAACTGGAATGCACAATAGTCATCACTATTTTAACTACCACTTTGAATTAAATGTTTCTTTTAAATGGTTACCTGTGTTGGCTCTTTGGAGCTCCCACTGAAAGAAGAATTCTGCTAGGGAAATGTTGACTTCTTCCCTTATTCAGAAATAGCTCCCTTGTGTTTTGGTGTTAAAGGCAAAGTCTTGAATTATTCTCCTCATGAGACACGTGAACAGCCTGCTTTCCTTTTCCCAATACCAAATGGCCGGTATTTCCAAGTCACGGCATGCTGAAAGCTACATTCGCGGATGTTCCACATCTCATATCAAGAGACCACACTTGTTTTGTGATTTGATAATGGGATTGTGAAAGCAAGTGGGAAAAGGAGAGAAGCAAACTCAGGGCCAGAATGATGCTTGAAAAGTATCAAGAGTTGCCAAACTGCAAGAGGAGGAAGGGGAAATAAATACTCTCATAGAGAGACTCCACAGAGCTCTTGAGGCATTCATCTTTTGCTGTCCATTTGATTTCTACCAGAGTTTCTTCTAAAATAATGTGGGCTTCCAGAGGATTATGTAACAAGGATTTAATTTTTAAAATATGCTCTTCAGAGTAGACATAGTCCTGTAAAAGAAAGTTACAATGTGTCCAGTCCATGGAACACATCCAAGAAAATCTTAAGATTCTTGGTACTCTCTGAACTGCTATTTAAGCTGAGTCTCAGACAAGTCCTCTTGGATAGTAGCTGCCACTTTTCAATGTGGTTCAGAACAAGCATCTTAGTATTCTTTCTGTTTTTGTTGTGGTTCTAGTTTATAGCCTACTTTATTAGCTAAGCCATTCCTCTCATAGTCGTTCAGTCATTGACAGTCACTTCCGTTTCATTCTCTGGTACACAGAAGAGTTATTCTTTCTGTTGTGTTGGCGACCAGGAGTCTGGGACAGTTCTTCCTCGACTGAAAGGAAAAATATCAGTTAATACTTTGGAGACAGCTGAGTGCCACTGGTCACTTACTGCTCATAAATGGTTATTGTCCAGCATTTCTACTCTGGTGGCCCCAGCAAGTCATAGAAGTCCGGATCTTCAGAGCAAGTCCTGTTGCAGGATCTCTCCTTCCATCCTCAACCATTTCCAAAAAAATGTAAATGCTTATTTCTAAAGAATGGTCCTGGTTAGAAGTGGACACATTACCACTGTAGTAAAAAGTGTTACATGCTGGCATATTTTATATGTAGTAGATAAAGTGTGGATTAAATTTATTAAGATCCCCACATTCAATAAGCATTTGTTAAGCATGTCTATAGGCCAAGGGCTGGAGATATGGAAATGAGTAAGTCAGGGCTTCTGTCATTGCTCCTCCCCCCAAAAAGGTGTTGTGAGCATTTATAGTCTTGAGCTATGTCAAGTTATTCTTCTTTACCTTCTGGTGCCTTTTACTGAAAACTGACACTTTCAACTTTTCACTGTCTACATATTCCTTAACCCCTTAAAACATAACTTCAGTTAAAGCTACTCTCACTAAAATGTTAAAAGTCATCAAGGACATCCTAATTACTAAATCTAGTGACATTTTTCCATCTCCGGTTTCCTTTCTCTCTAGCATTTGACACAAGACTCTCATGCCCCAGTCACTCCCCTCCCTTTGACTTTTATTGTGTCCATCTTTCTGTGTCCTCTCATCCACTCTGCAGCTTCAACTGTTAACCTCTCAGCAACAATAAATTTTATTTTTAGGCCTGAGATCTCTCGTGAGATCCCAACAAGTATCGCTTGAGATCTTCCTGGTATATCAAAAAAATCTTCCTGATTGCCACCAATGCACACAACTGAACCTGTTTTTACTCTTAAAAGTTTTATTTTCAGAATTATAATTAATCAAATTATTCAAGCCAGACACCAGGAGCTTATCATCTCATGGGAGATAATCTATGTTTATAGACTCAAACCTGAAAATGTTCTTTTTGGCTCCCATGTCAAATCTAAGCAACTTATCCCTGCCAGGCATTTTTATAGGCCAAGTATCCCAGGACACATGTATTCTCCCTGAACGGGATTCTTCTAGGCCTCCACAACGCCTATCATCTTAGTGTGGAGAGGGTACATATGCATCGGGTGGTGACAGACCCTGGGCTACATGAGCCTCAGTATTTAATAGCTAATAATTTTTGAGCAGTTTTATTATGCCAGACACTGTATGAAATCCCTTGCATGACTTATTTAATTCTTGCAAAGACATTACGTTTTGGTCACCATTGTTATTCTTACACTATATATAGATGAACAAACTGAGACAGAGAGAAATCAAGATGAAGTAATTTGCCCAAGATCACAGAACCTGATGGATTCAGGAGTCGATTCCAGGCAGTCTGACTCCAGAGCCCACACTCTCAACCACTGAGTTATGCTGTCTTTCCACATAGATTATTGCTAGTGTAAATGCATTGCTTGAGATGGCCCATGGCTTAGATGATAAATTCACTGAAATTCTTTTACTCTCAATCACCAAAGGCTAACTGCACAACCAGTGCTTTGAATGAGGAACCAGGATACAAATTATAAGGCTCAAAATAGTTGACCTGAATAATGAGACTGAAAGAAGATAACTCTAAGAGTGGAGAACTGGAATAGAGAGACCAAGAGGAAGCTCATCAATATATAGTGAGTTGTCTATCAGGTAAATAAACTGTTTGTGCTAGGTACAATGCCGAGAACAGGAGAAAAAAATGTGTCCTCCTAAAAGCTTGCAATTTGGCCACCATTTTATTTCAATGGGTCTACAGAAGACAGTGCAGAGAGAGAGTTTAGACAGGTGAGATTAGGCAGGTGGCCTTGAAAACTCCCTCTTCATTATTGTAGAAAATTCTGCAAGCAACCAGGTTTTCCCTGTGGGGCCACAGGTGAAGAAATGTGATCTTGACTCAGGGCTAAGTCTTTATGCTGAGGAATCACCATCGTCAGTAATTATTATTATTCCTGTTATATAACAAGATTGATCAAATCCTCTCACAGCTTTTATAAAATTCTTGCATGTTTAAAATTTTCCCATTTGTCTTTCATATTGGTGACAAGCTAATTTGTTTAGACCAAACGGATTCATTCATTCAACAGCTATCTATTGAACACTTACTCCATGTTCAACACCCAAGGGGTAGTTAGTGCATTGGCTGAGAGGGCTAGCTCTGGAGCCAGCCAGCCAGGTTTCAGATCCTGTGTCTACCACTTTCTAGATGAGTGACCTTGGGCAATTTACTTAATTACTACAAGATAATTTCAATAAGGGCTATTATTATAATGACACAAACACTGCCTTCTTGGAAATTACAAGCCATCAGGGGTAATAATGACTAACAGTGTTCAGAAGGCACTGTTAACCTTACATGTATCACATCACACAATTCCCACACCAACCCCATAGCGATATCCTGCTATTATTTCTATTTTACAGATGAGAAAATGACTTTCAAGAGTTTGAGTAGCCATTGTTACAGATCTGGAATTTGAACTGCATTTGGTTTGACTCCATAGTCTGAGCTCTTCACAATTTCACTAACCTTTAAATTGTTCTGATTTTTCCAGATACTTATCATTTTCCATTTTGATTACTGACTACTAAAACATATATACAAGGTTCAGTGAAAGATATCTAGTCATCCTGTACATTTTCATACTTGAATTGACTGTAAGTTGCAGAAGGCCAGAAACTTATCACTTACCTGACCTTTTTTTTTAATCTAACGCTATATAAAAACTTTCAAGTATTCAATAGACACATTTTTTAATAAGAATATTTTTGGCAATGTTGGTTATTTTTGAGAGCAGTTTGTTCTTGATCAGGATGATGGTATTTGGGGGATAAAGACTGGCACTGAAAAAGTAGAAGTTAAAGAATCTCAGGGGTGGGCCGGCCGAGTGGCGCGATGGTTAAGAGCTCGCTTGGGATGCCAGAGGGCCCCGGTTCGGATCCCACATATGAGGGCCAGTGACACTGCCCTCCACAGCTAAGATGGTGAACAACAGCTCAACCTGGAGCTGGGCTGCCCTGAGTCGCCGGCGACGGCGTGGGCTGCAGTCCCTGTGGCAGTGGATTGCCATGGGCTGCCGTGTGTGGCCAGCAGCCAGCGTGAGCGGCCAGCAGCCGCAGTGAGCGGCCGTCCAGAAGCCGGCGACTGATCTGCCTCGCCAGAGAAGAGCGCAATGATGGTGCCAACTTGGGCCAGTGAAGCAACGTCCTCCACAACTAGATTGAAGAACAAAAAATGACAGCAACTTGTCTGTTCCCCTTCCCCCAATTCCCCAGCACTGTTCCCATCCCCCCAATTCCCCAATAAAAATCTTAAAAAAAAAAAAAGAATATCAGGACTTGGGGAGATAAGGCAATCAAAACTTCTACCTTAGAAGATGTCACATGTCCATGGCAATGGTTGATGAAGGGTTTGGAAATGGAAAATTCAAGATGTAGACCTTCACCTCAAGCACTATTCCTCCAGGCAATTGATGGAGTGCAGGATGCTAGAGAATTTTCTTTCTTCCTTTGTTGGAAAAATTGATATTCTCTACATACTAATTAAATTTTCGTGCACCATTACCTCCTAAGGCTTGCAGTGTAGGGATTAATGCTGAATGATTACAATGCCTCCACATGCTTTCCATCACATCTTGAAATGCCTCTCCTGGCTGACGGGCGAGGATGTATGAGGCAAGCAAACTGCTTTTCTCTTTCAGAATGTAGGACTCTGGGGTTCTGTGAACACACCAGTTAATCTGTCAATGTCCCTTTCTTTACAGGAACAAAATAGGAATGATTACACTTGCCATAACCCTGGTTGGAAGATTAATGACATGACATTTGACCATCTGTTTGCAGTTTTTAAGTAGGAGCTGCTAAATAGAGATACAAACTGGGTATGTTTTATTTGGGCCAAGTGATCTCACTTGCCCTCAAACTGGAGAGAAGGTATTACTACTCAACCTAAAGAGTTGAGTAGTAATACAGAAAGAACTTTATTTTTAAAAAGCTTCATGTTATTTTTATTTTTTAGAACAAAGGAGAATTTGGAATTAAAGGGACCAGATCTATGTAAACATGAAAATATGTTAAGGTTGTTTGCTAACACTAGAAAATGTAATCAGAAATTACTCTAAAAAAGGATGCACAGATCCCATTTAGAAGAGGAGGGAGATACAAGCAAAGGATGGTTTGCACAGAAAATTCTTGAGAGAATAACATAGTACAGGCTGCCCCTCAGCTGCCACCCTGGCCAGGTAACTGTAAAAGAGAGCACCCAGGGTCCCCAGTTTCCTCAGCCTACCATGCTTGGGACCCAGTCTCAACAGAAAGAAAACTGACAAGAGGGAAAACTGCTTTGGTCCAGTCCGCTGGGCAGTCTTCTCATAGCATCCTCCAGATGGTTCACTGACAGGCCACTTGTAACAGGGTGCCAATAGTCATTAGTATTCTTTCCAACAATAAACTTCAATGGGACCCACATTGCATAAGTGACTGATGCACAGATTTTTGTTAGTTCCTTTCACCTCCTCTCTCATTCCTCCTGTACTCCTTAACCCGTAGCTTGGAAGCCCAGGCACACTTCAGTGAAAGCCAACAAATGTAGGAGACAATGGAGAAGAACCACAGAAAGTGGAGGCTCATTACCTGGCTGAGGGTGGCCCTTAGCCATTAGAAGGTCCTGCCTCTGGTGGGAGTGTTTGGCTCTAACTCTGGGACAAGACTTAGGAGAAAGGGCAGGTCATTCTTATAGCCCTTTGACCAGATGTCTGAGGCCAGAGCCAGAAGCATACAGATTTGTGATGTCTCTCCTCCAACTTCTAATGATTTTGCCAGATGCATTGTGTGGTTTTCTAGAACTTGAGTTTGTTTTCTCTCAGTCCTAAAAGCCCATAGTAAAAATCTGTTCTGATATTTAGGATAATCCCTGGTATATGGTAGATTCTCAAATATTTGTTGAAGGAATGAATGAGTAAATGCATGAATGGGCACTCATCCTATCCAGAAGGATGGTGCAAGTTTGGAGCAAGCCTCAAAGTTTGTGAAAGGACTTTACCCAGAGAGCATTAGCCCTCGTCATGTGAGGTTGACCTTCTTGCTATCCTTTGTGTTAGATGCTCTGTTGCAAAAAAAAAATGGAGGCTTTCAGAGGGAAGGGACAGACCCATAGATGGGCAAGTCTAGAAGTCAAGAAAAGCTCAGCAGCATGTCAGAATTTAGAATGAGGATGGGAGAAGGAAGTGTGAAGAGAGAGCAGAACTTTGGGGCCCTCCACTTCTTTTATTCGAATACTTCAGAAGCGGTTCCAAATTTATTGAACTATAAACTTAAGGTGGAAATTTTTGTCTGGGACTTGATCTCTAGACAATTTACAGGCAGGGATGTGTGAAGACTGAAGGATGTCACCGTGCAGTGGTCACAGTGCTACACACACATGAAGCCCCTTCTCGGGGCCTTCCCTACATTCTCTCCTGCATCAGCCCCTGGTGATGCCAGGCCAGGCCACACTCTCAAGGGAAATTTGCATTTCCAGGGCATTCTAAAGGAATATCATTGATATGTTTATACCTCAGAATTATCTAAATATAGAAGTAAAATACTGTAGACCCATTTAAATTTGACATATTATAGATGGTTTCCCCCAAGTGTCACCCAGGGATAAGTAAAGCTATAAAACCAAGATTCACCCTTTTTGCCCAGTTTGTCCCAAATACTAGCTGTCCCACAGAACGATCTGACCTGTAACTGATAAGTGGAGGCCAGTAAGTGACTTTGGAAGCCATGAGGTTATCTTGGTCTGTTGTTTGCCTCATTTAATGCTTGATGCATTTCTGAGATACTAAAAATTTTAGTATAATAGCTAAAGAGGCAGCCAAAAATGACACTTGGAAGTGACATGAGCTATTCAAGTCCCTGACTGTGATATCAGCATCCTGTAACTGCTCCACCGGGTGCTGAATGTCAGTGGGAGTCTGGCATGTGAGTGACTAACAGTGGCTGTTGCAACAGCTTTAAAAAACCTTCGCAATGGAAATGGTTGCAGTGGCTAGGCGGTGAGCCTATTTGGAAGACTCTGAAGGGGAGCTTTAATTAGGAGCTTGGGGATTTCTAGTTCTCTTTATTTTTCAGAGGCTCTTTTTCAGGGCTCAGTGGTAATGAATGGCTGGGTGGCAGAACACCCAGCAGACTGGTCTGGGGCAGTGGAGGGTAAGCTAACTTAATGAAGAAAAGGATTTATCATATGTCTGTTGTAGAGCAAGATGGAATAAAGCTGGGTCACTCAACAAGAGAGCTGTTCATAAAAATGTGACACAAAAAATAGAAGGCTAGGGGGATATTTGAGTATGTTGTGATAAAAAACTTACAATTCTGTAATGTACACTCTGTCCACTAGGATTTCTTTATGTTCTAAATCTCATCTTAAATATGATACCATCCAATGTAAGACATATTACTGTTTTTTGTTGATATTGCAAAATAGCAATTAACCTCTATGATATTAATCTTATGTTTGCTGGATACATTACCAACACACTGTCTATCAAATTACAGCCCAATTTCATTAATTTCAATTACAGCAGAATAAACAGTCTCAATCCAGGACCCAACTTTCAACCATGTCTAAATCACTTCATTTCCTTTTTTTTTTTTTTTTCACCTTAAGACTACTGCTTCATGGAAAGTTTACACCAAGCCATCAAATATCTACTAGGGCTTGACATTTGATGTTTGTCATTTCTATTTCCTTAACAGAAGTTCAGCGGATGAAAAATAAGTGTGTTTGCAATCACACTCATGGGCACATACACACATAAGTCTGTCCGGTAGAGAAAGCAGACCATGAAACATGTTTTAACGTTTGTGAACCTGTTGCCCTGAGAGACAAAGACAAGTAATCACTTGTCAAAATTGTGCTGGTTCACAGTTTGACTGACTGTGAGGGGCTGCCATTAAAGGGGTCCCCACAGCAGGCCTTTGGAGCCTAGCGCACGATCCACACTCCTGAAAGGATCAAACTCTGTCATGTTCACCAATAAAGATGCCTTCAGAGAGTGCTTCTTAAGAACCTACACATCAAAAAGATGTATTGCTCCAGACCTCCAGAAACGCTGACATTGCATTGGCTTGTCCCAAAGGTGGGCCATGGGAAAGGACTCCCACCCTGCCTTGTGTGGCTTCACACTTACCCTCCATCAACTTGATCCTGAAGTAGGCAATGAGAAGGAGTAGCAGCAAAGTCACAGGCAAGAAGACCCCACAGAACAGGAACCAACTGGGGAGCTCTCTCATGAACGCTGACAGCACAGGGCTCATTGCCAATCACACAGACCCTCCCGGGCCAGCGGGGCTCATGCCCGGGATGAGGGCAGTGTTGCTGAGACGCTGCGCTTGTTTTCTTATGGGAATCTGGCCTTTGCTCAGCACAGCTCAGTGGAGCTTTTTGTGGACTTTGCTCTATTTGAACAGCCTGGTGCATTCCGAGAGGATTGCTGGCAGGTTACTCTGTAACAGCTACAAAGTGCAGAGGAATCGAAAGGTGATTCTCCCACACCATCCAGAGAGACATACTTATCTGGCAGGGTTGGATGACACCAGGAGGCCTGGACGTCTTTGTATTCAGTTTACCTGGGATGAAAAGTACCTGACTTCAAGCAAACTCCATCGTTATATACATTCCCAGACAGAAATAACTTTTCTTACATTTTCTAAATTTCAGAGTTAAAAATTACTTAGTAGCCATGTTAATGGCTATGAACATGTGGAAAAAATGAAAATTTCCTTCATGCACAGTTGATACAACTAATATCAAGGAAGAGAAACAATATCTTTTGCACATGTAAAAGCTCTTCCTAGTATATCCTGCTCTGGATACTTTTCTGAGAGGTGTACTGGTGTATTCATTTATTCAACAAACATTTAACTCTTGCCTAGAGGCAGGGTGTATAAACAAGAGTCAAGTCATGGTCCTGGCTTCTGAGAGAAGAGACAGACACAGAGATAATGGCTACAAGTGATAACGTTGGAGAGGATGGTAGTAAGGCCCCTTGGCCTTCTCCCCTGATGCGCAAGACTTTGCTTCCTGCATCATAGCTGCACTCTCAGCTGTCTTCTGCTAGCCTGCACATTCCTGTGGCCCATCATTAGCAGTAGAAGGTGGGCCCAAAACAATAGTGATATGGGGCTGTGCATTCACTCTAAACCTCCTGGGGAAAGAAGGGAGGTGATAAACACTTGCCATTGACTTGTTGGCTAAGTTGAGTCGCCATTGACTGCTTTAGTGAAAAATTCTCAAAGATACTACTCTACCAAACTTAAACCAACTGAAAAAATCACTTCCATATTGAAAGGATCTCTTGGAAAATTTGGAAAAATTTAGGGGCAATTGGGAGCTACCTTCTTGGGTTCATGCCCCCTCTCATGTTCTAACCCTGTCGGCCACCCCCACTTGGCAGCTGCCTTGGTAAGTGGCTGGCAGAGCCTATCATGATCATACTGCAGTCAGTGCCTCCCGAGTTCCTTCATTAAGGATTTTGTGTGGCCACGCAAAGTCTTAGTCCCAGCTGGAAAGTCGGCACCCTAATTTATGAAGTAATAAGAATGGGGAGGGGGGTCTCTGGGATGCTTGGCTGGCATTCCTGAGCAGTGAACAGTAAACAGCTTTCTCTCAGAAGAAAGACATCTTAATTTCAGAAAGATTCACTTAGAATACCCAAGACGAAGTCAGCATTTGTTGTACTTTATTTGCTTCTCTTCTCCCACTCCACAAACCCTTAAGTGGTGCTGCTGCTATTCCTCTTATGTGCCCTCCAATGAGATGGCTTTCCGGTGCTCTTTCAGCTTGAACAGGATGCTAACTCATAAAGTGTCAATCTACAAAGAACCTCCAGGAGCAAGCAGCATTACCAGGGAGATGTTAGGCAGCTGTGAGGCAGGCTGTTTGTCATGTTCTTTCTTTCCGTTTCATTCCATTCAGAAAGCCTTCATCAAACGCCTCGACAAAGGTAAGTGAGAGGAACAGGCAAATACATACATGACAATAATGTAAGCTCCCAGACTGACGTATCAACAAATGCAATGGAAGCACTGAAGAGAGACTGATTAATTACAGTTAGGGAATTGGGCCAAGTTCATTTAAAAGATAGGATTTGAGCTGAGCCTGGGCTTGAGAAGCTCAGGCTGGGGTGTTCAGAGGGTGGAGAGACTACTCAAAAGGAGGGTATGTGAGCATAAAAGAGAGAGTAGCTGCAGACCCTAAGGAAGGCTCTCACTTAAAACGTTGGAGGAAGGACAAGAACCAGGGAAGAAAACAAAAAATGGAGGCTCAAAGGGGTGGGGGAGGAACTCAGAGGAAATAATGTTAGGGAAATGGCGGCAACAGAAAGATTCAAGGAGAGGGTGATAAGTGATATTATTTACTGGATATGAGGTAATTATGATCCACATAGAGTTTCAAGAGAGTATAATCTTGGAAGTGAACTTTGAGGTTTTCTTTTTGTCTTAAAAGGCTCTTTATGAGTATAACTGACATAATAAACTGTATAATTTGATACATTTTGACGTATGTATATATGCCCATGAACTCATCACCACCAATCAAATCATGAACATATCTATCACCCCAAAAGTTTTCTGGGGTCCCTTGTCTATCCCTGTCTCCCACCCCACCTGCTCCCCCAAACCTCAGTCCTCCACTGATCTGT